AAGACCGATCAAGCAACAAATAGATATCATCGCTGAGCTTGCATATGTCAGTGAAACACCCCTGGCTCCGCTCATGTAGATAAAAATCAACTGCGGTCTTAGCCCAAAGGGTGTTATCCAGAATTGTGTCCTGTAGTTGTTTCCTCTCCACTTCAGATACCGGTATGGTACTGGCCGGTAACTCATACGAGAGCCAACTTGAATCTATCATGTCCGGCACGTCAGAGGGTTTCTCAAGAATCCTACATATGACGCCATGTGAATCGGGCTCTTGAATGGTGGAAGGGACCTCTTCAACGATGACAGTGGCCTCTTGAACGGTGGGAGGGGACTCTCGAAGAATGATAGGGGCCTCTTCAACGATAGGAGTAGACTCTTGAGGGATAACAGGCGAGTTAGGCTTCATCTTGCGGTATCTTCGCACTATTAGGGTGTACGGAGACTTAATAGCACGTGCACGCCGTCTGATGCGTGAACTCTGTCGTGCAAGAAAAACCCGACTTAAAGCATCCACCTTATCGTTCCGCTAAATAATTAAATACAAATATCAGTAAATAAACAGACATGATATTTAAATAGTGAAAACAAAGACAAATATATTTCAAACTTTCAACCAAAAGACAAAACAAAGACAAATACTAACTTCACAGTGTTAAAGAATACACAGTTTAGCAGAATTGGCAGCAACCGAATAAATTTACTTTAACCAAAAGACAAAACAAAAAGACAAATACTAACTTCACAGTGTTAATAAACAGTTTAGCAGTATTGGCAGCAACCGAATAAATTTACTAAGCAATCTAAGTGAAATGGTTAATTTAAGTGAAATTACGAGTAAATTTATCATCAAGTTAAATATGGAAAATCTTAAACTTACCTCGTTGCGTAGAGTATGAACCTCATTCTGCAATGATACTACCATCTCACGTAGAGTGGTAACCTCACCACGTAAAGTAGACACCTCCACACGCCATGCACCATCGTTATCGCGTAGAGTACCGATCTCCTCACGCAAGGCATTGACCTCATCACGTAACTCCCTTGACTCATCCCGTGGAGGTGGAGAACAAGGAGATAGAAGTCGTGGCATCTTTGCCGGTCGCCTATCATGAGGTGATGGTGGAGAAGAGGCTCGATGATGTGACGGGATAGGTGATGGCTCTCGTCGTAGAGGTGTATAGTCGGGTCGATCAGGTGATGGCTCTGGGTGAGGTGATGGCTCTCGAAGTGGAGGAAGTGGAGGCTGCTCATCATTTGTGCCATCAAGAAAACGTTGACTAGCTTGCCACCAATCAGTGGCAAGCTCAGCCTCCGTGGGTGTCAGTCTCATTAATGGAATGTTGGCCTCTTAAAAATATAAAAACTCAAACAAAGTAAAACGTCTACTATTAATAACTTGTTTATATATGATAGTATTTGTGTTAACTTACATTATTTACTGTCGCATATGGTATTAAGTCTTCCCAATCCAACAGACGTTTCCTCTTCTAGGAAATAGCCCTAGGAATATCATTTGAGGTTTTTAATGCATATGTCTGCATGCTGGGGAAAGCCTCGAATATCCAAATCTACAAACAATATAATAACAAACATTAGTAATTGTTAAATAATTAATTATAATTTTGAAAACATTATATAGAAATTCTTACCTTAAAGGCCCAAACAAAGCCTGACAAAGTGTATTTCGACCCATCGCCCCGCAAACTTTTGCGGTCATCAAAGGCAGACGACAACTTAGTCCAGGTAGCTTTCCAAATATACGAACCCCACGGAAACAGATTCCATGCATTTAGGTCCTCTACCAATAATATTAGCTCTTGAGGAATAGGTTGTCTGGCCTCTCTGCCTAAAAAGCCAGCATACAAAAGTAGTAGAAGGCATACTCGGACAACATCGACGTCTTTCATCCGAGTAAAACCATCTTTCTTATTAAACAATTTCTTCATGTCGTCGACGTGTAAGTTCGGCTTCTCTATTGACTCATCAGGAAAAACCCTGGATAACCATGATGGGCGGGTGATATGACGAGTGTACTGGCCTACATCATCGTGTCCGAATCGTAGACCAGTGATTAAGCAGAACTCCTTCCGCCCAAAACAAGTATACGCCGGTGGAAAATGAAGCCATATCTCTTCCTCACCACGTGTATACTGTCGGGTAGATCGCTAGTCATGGTCTGAAACCACAAATGGGTCAAATTAGCATCTCCACCCGGATGCTGTACTCTCAGCCTTGGCCCGAAGTAGGTTTCCTCAAACAATTTTCTTTGTGCAGGTGAAAGCTTCGAAGCAATTGTAGTGGCTAGGCTAACTTTATTCCTTAATGTCAATAAAGCCGAAAAAAATGTCTACAAAAACAATAAACATACCAAGTTAGATATACCAAAAACTACACTGTGAAGATATACCAAAAACAATAAACATAAATAGTAGTTTATTCTTGAAACTAAAATTTGCAACACTGTTTTGTCTTTTGGTTGAAATGAAAATCGCAACGAGATAATGAAAATCGCAACGCGGAAATGACTATCGTAACGAGAGAATCGCAACGCGAAATGACTATCGCAACGAGAGAATCACAACGCGAAATAAAAATCGCAATGCGATTTTGGTTTCGCGTTGCGATTTTCATTTCGCGTTGCGATAGTTATTTCCACGTTGCGATTTTCATTCTCGAAACTATTATTCTTCTGCATTACTTCAACCAAAAGACAAAACAAAGACAAATACTAACTTCACAGGCTAAACAGTTTAGCAGTATTGGCAGCAATCGAATGAATTTAATAAGAAATCTAAGTGAAATGGTTAATCTATTATTGAAATTATCAGTAAACTTATCATCAATTTCAATATGAAAAATCTAAAATAATGCAAAAATTTCAAAATAAAAATAATTAAAAAAACTAACCCTTGGAGGTTGATTTTCCATTTCTGAATGATTGTGAGGGATTTCTGACCGTGAATGGTTGTGAGGGATTTCGCCGGCGATGGGGACGGAAATCTTCGGAGATGGGGACAGATTTCGTCGTAGAGAGTGAGAGATGGAGATGAGATTGAGTGTTGTGATTTTAGGTTTGAGGTTATCAGTTGCGATTACTGTGGACGGTTCAGTTTCCGATATATTAAGAAAAAATTCGTGTTTGGAATTTGAAAAAAAAAAATACGCGTTAATACGAATTGCCCTATGTAAATCGCATTGCGATAGTAAGATTCCCATTGCGATTTACGTATTCGCATTGCAATTTTCCTAATTCGCATTGCGATTTACTTAATCGCGTTGCGATTTACGTATTCGCATTGCGAATTATGAAAATCGCAACGCGAATACGTAAATCGCAATGCGAATTAGGAAAATTGCATTGCGATAGTCAGTATCGCATTGCGATTTTCATAATTCGCATTGCGAATTGGGAAAATCGCAACGCGAAATTGGAAAATCACATTGCGATAGTCATAATCGCGTTGCGAATCTGGAAACTGATTTGCGATAATGGAGATCGCGTTGCGAATTAGCGATCGCATTGCGATTTTGTTGGTCATTTTGGCAAATCCGGAAAAAGTTGGTTAAAATCGTATATTATATGGGATTTTTGGTCACTGAGGTTATTTTCTCTTTGAGATATCTTTCTAGTCTTGAAGGTATATTGTCTCTGTCCAATTTTCTTTTGAAGGGAACTGCTAGTGTTAGTGTTGCCTCTGAGTTGAGCACTGAAGAAGCTGTTGTATTGACAAATCTTGGGAGCTTATACAGTGAAATAATTTGGCAAATTTCTTTGTGTAATGAGACCATGGCTGATGAGAAGCGGACAGCTGATCAAGAAGGTGAAAGTGATGACGATACCAGTATCCCAGCCTTGAGATACATGAACCCAATTTCTGTTAGGAGTGGTTCTGAGTTTCTGGGTAGTGCAGAACGAGAGTATCTTTCACTTGTTCGTTCTAATGAAAGTTTGCACCGTCATAGTCAACATGGTTTGTCACGTTTAAGGGGTGGAAGGAATGGTCGACACCTAAATGCTCTTAATATTGATTCTGAAACTCCTCACAGTTTGCCAGAAATGTAACCTGTCCAGAATTTGAAAACAAAAAGTCCTGGCCTTCTTGCGATAGAAATTTTTAACAAGCTTGCTTTCACATTACGGTCCTTTTTCACAGCACTTGTTAAAAGGTTTACCTCACCTTACCGTTGTAGAGCTGATGCCGAATCATTAAATTCAGCTTCAAAGATTCTAGGTATGGTGCTGGCTCAAATATTTTTTGAGACACTAGGTTTCAATGGGATATCTTGTTATCCGGGATTTGCTGATACATCACTGTCAGTCAAGTGTCGATACCTTGGGAAAGTTGTTGATGACATGGAGCATTGACATTCGACAGCAGGCGTCGTACGTGTTATACAGGAATGGTTTATAATTTTTATGTCCATGCAACCTTTAGGAAATTACTTACCACCTTGAAGCTACTAGTCAGTTATTGTGGACGTTACCCCCTTCTATCCATACACCTGGCATTGAGCACAAAAAAGCAGGTGAAACAAATAACTTGTCCCACGGTACATGGCTGCTTGATACATTACAATGCTACTGCCGTGTTCTTGAATATTTTGTTAACTCTTCATTATTATTATATGGGAATTCTGCATCCAAGACTCAGCTAGTTGGTGCTGGTTTGTTAAATGGGATCTTCAGTATCCCTAGGGACCCAGAAAATTTTGTGCGAATGCTGCAGTGTGAGGTGCTGGATGTGATTCTACCTATCTGGAACCATCCCTTGTTTCCTAATTGTTGTCCTGGTTTTATGGCTTCTGTTGTTTCACTTGTCATGCATGTAAACTGTGGTGTTGGTGATGTGAAACAAAATCGCAGCACTATTACAGGAAGCACAAACCAACGTTCATGCCCCCTCCACCCGATGAAGGAACCATTGCTACCATTGTTGAGATGGGGTTTTCAGGGCTAGAGCAGAGGAAGCCCTGCGACGAGTGAAACAAATAGTGTTGAAATGGCCATGGAATGGCTGGTTAGTCATGCTGACGATCCTGTGCAAGAGGATGATGAACTAGCTCGAGCACTTGCTCTATCACTTGGAAATTCATCAGAGACTTCCAAAGTTGACAGTGTTGATAAGCTAATGGGTTTCAGACTTCCAAAGTTGACAGAAGAAGGGCCACCTCCATTACCTCCAATTGATGATATCCTCAATGCATCTTTGAAGTTGTTCCAGTGTAGTAATAACATGACATTTTCATTGACAGACTTGTTTGTAGCACTTTGCAATCATAACAAAGGAGAAGACCGTCCAAAAGTTCTATCATTTCTTATTCAGCAGCTGAAGCTCTGCCCACTGGATTTTTCTAAGGACTCCACTGCATTATGTATGATATCTCATATTGTAGCACTGTTTCTTTCTGAGGATGGAAATACACGTGAAATTGCTGGCCAGAATGGTATAGTACCTGCTGTCATTGATATATTGATGGAATTCAAGGCTAGAAATGACTTGGGGAGCAAGATTACGGCACCAAAATGTATCAGTGCTTTACTTTTAATCTCGGATGATATGTTGCAGTCACGATCAAGAATATTTTATGGAATGATGGAGGGTACTCAGACAGTATCTCAGCCTGACTCATATGGGGAGCATGCTTCTTTGACAGTTCCAGAATTAATTACAGAGAAAAATGTTAAAAGTTTCAAAGTTTGGCAACCAACTTTGGAAAATGTTTTTTTCAAAGTTTGGTAAATGTTCCTTTGAAAAATGTTTTTCAAAGTTTGGTAAAATTTGGTAGATGTTTGTTGAAAATAGGAATGGGGTAAATTCACTTTAGTCATTGCACTTTAGGGTATTTTCAAAGATTAGTCCCTAAGTTTCTACTAAATACCCTTACCCATTTAGCTTCAAAATCATCCCAAAACATTTCTTTTTCCTATACTAGAGAGCTTTCTTGTGAGTAGTGAGTGTTTTGTAAACACCTGTAAATTTTCTCTTAGTAAAAGATCTGCAGCAGCCCGGAGACGTAAGCACAATTGGCTGAACTCCGTTATCAATTTCGGGTATTATTTTTCCGCTTTATTTCGCATTCTCACTAATCTGGTTATAGGGAAATTACTTGTACTCGGTTTATTTCCTAACAACTGGTATCAGAGCTTTGGTTGTGAATTTTGTCAAATTTTCTGCGAGGTTACTATTCATTACTATTCACGTGAATAGTGAATTTCGGAATAGTGAAATTCGGTCGGCGATACGAGTTTGTCGACGGTGGTGTTCTAATACACAGTGATTCGCAAGAATTGTCAGAAACGATCCAAACGAAGCCAGATTCGAGTGGGAGCGATGGCTGCAGACGAAGGGAAGGTGAAAATTGAAAAGTTCGATGGTGCGGACTTGGCTTTTGGAAGATGCAGATTGAAGATTTTTTGTACCAAAAATCTATATCAACCTCTCTCAGGAAAGCAACCAGAGGGCATGAAGGATGAAGATTGGGCTCTTCTCGACAGACAAGCCCTCGGAGTTATCCGACTGACGTTATCCCGCAATGTTGCTTTAACATAGCAAAGGAAAAGACCACTGCGGGTCTTATGGCGGCTCTCTCCAGTATGTACGAGAAGCCATCGGCCTCAAACAAAGTTCATTTGATGAGGCGATTATTCAATTGCGGATGACGGAAGGGGCATCGGTGGCACAACACCTAAATGAACTCAACACAATCACAACCCAGTTGAGTTCAGTGGAAATTGAGTTCGATGATGAAGTTCGAGCTTTAATTCTCTTATCATCTCTACCAGACAGTTGGAATGCTACTGTTACAGCAGTCAGCAGTTCGTCGGGAAACAGCAAATAAAATTTGACGATGTTCGGGATCTGGTACTGAGTGAAGAAATTCGACGGAGAGAATCGGGTGAAGCATCAACCTCCTCAGCCTTGCACACGGAGTCTAGAGGAAGAACTTCAGAAAGATATTCAAATCGTGGCAGATCAAAATCCAGACGGGAAAAATCTAGAACGGGAAAGAAAGATTTACCTGTTATAATTGTGGCAAGAAAGGTCACTTTAAAAGAGATTGCCGAGCACTGAAGAAAGATACCGGTGCACAGGAATCTGCCAACGTGACAGAGGAGACAGGTGATGCCATGATTCTAAGCGTCAACAGTCCGATTGAATCATGGATCTTGGATTCAGGGGCATCTTTCCACTCCACCCCATGCCAAGAATCATGGAGAACTATGTCAGTGGTGATTTTGGGAAGGTTCATCTTGCTGATGATGAAACCTTAAAGATCGTCGGAAAAGGAGACATCCGACTAAAGTTGCCAAAACCAGACCACCTGGAAGCTGACAGGAGTGAGACATATTCCTGGCCTCAAAAGAAATCTGATTTCTGTTGGACAGCTTGATGGAGAAGGATATAGCACAACCTTTTCAGGCTGTGAATGGAAGATTACCAAAGGAGCACTCGTCATTGCTCGTGGTAAGAAGACTGGTACTCTCTATGTAACCTCCAATTTAGAGATATCATTGCAGTAGCAGATGCTGATGGAAAATCAAACCTATGGCACCAAAGGCTCGGCCATATGAGCGAGAAAGGGATGAAGACACTTTTGTCAAAAGGGAAGCTGCCGGATCTAAAGAATGTAGATGTCGGACTATGCGAGGATTGCATCTTTGGCAAACAAAAGAAAGTCAGTTTTGCAAAGATTGGCAAGACACCCAAGACAGAAAGGTTAGAATTGATTCATACTGATGTATGGGGACCATCCCCAGTTCCATCTCTTGCAGGCTCACTATATATGTCACCTTCATCGATGATTCAACAAGGAAGGTGTGGGTTTATTTTCTGAAGAAGAAATCAGAAGTCTTTGATACCTTCAGAAAATGGAAGGCCATGGTGGAAAATGAGACTGGTTGAAAGTCAAGCGGTTGAGGTCTGACAATGGAGGAGAGTACAGAGACAGTAGATTCAGAGATTTCTGTGCAAAACAATGGGATCAAGATGGAGACAACAGTTCCCAAGACACCGCAACATAATGGTGTAGCAGAGCGCATGAACAGAACTCTGAATGAACGTGCCAGAAGTATGAGGATACATGCCGGCTTGCCCAAATTTCTATGGGCTGAAGCAATCAACACTGCAGCTTACTTGATCAACCGTGGGCCCTCAGTTCCTTTGGATGGCAGAATACCAGAGGAAGTTTGGAGCAAGAAAGAAATAAACCTTTCACACTTAAGAGTGTTTGGTTGTATTTCTTATGTACACATAGACTGCTGAAAGAAGTAAGCTTGATGCTAAGTCCAACAAATGTGCCTTTGTTGGTTATGGCGTGAGAGTTCGGTTACCGGTTTTGGGACTATGAAAATCGGAAGATCATCAGAAGCAGAGACGTCATTTTCAATGAAAATGTGATGTACAAAGATAGATCAACCGCAGAATCAAGTAATACCGAAGCTGAAACAAAGGAATTGCTGAGTTCGAGGAGATTTCTGGAAATGATGTTCAGATCAATCCTGAAGCAGTTCAAGAAGAACCAGGCACACCAGAACTGAGACGCTCCTCCAGAATTCCTAAACCAATCCAACGGTATTCTCTTTACACTACTTGTTGCTGACTGACAATGGTGAACCAGAGTGCTATGATGAAGCAATGCAAGTGGAGGATTCAGTCAAGTGGGAGTCTTCCATGAAAGATGAGATGGACTCGCTTATGTCAAATCAGACATGGGAATTAGCTGAATTACCACCAGGCAAGAAAGCGCTCCACAACAAGTGGATTTACAGGATCAAAGAAGAGCACGATGGGAGCAAACGCTACAAAGCAAGATTGGTTGTCAAAGGCTTTCAGCAAAAAGAAGGTATTGACTACAATGAAATTTTCTCTCCAGTCGTAAAATTGTCTACAATCAGACTGGTGTTGAAAATTGTAGCTGCAGAGAATTACATCTTGAGCAGTTAGATGTAAAGACAGCTTTCCTTCATGGTGATTTGGAGGAAGAAATCTATATGAGGCAGCCAGAAGGCTTCATAGAGGCAGACAAGAAAACCTGGTATGCAGGTTGAAGAAGAGCTTGTATGGTTAAAACAAGCTCCTAGACAGTGGTACAAGAAGTTCGATAGCTTCATGAGTAGCAGTGGTTTTATCAGATGCCAAGCAGATCATTGTTGCTACATCAAGAGGTTCGACAACAGCTTCATTATTTTATTATTGTACGTTGATGACATGCTCGTTGCAGGCTCAGACATGCAAGAGATTATACACTTGAAGCAAAAATTGTCGAAGCAGTTTGCTATGAAGGATCTGGGCGCTGCAAAGCAGATTCTTGGGATGAGGATCAAGAGAGACACAAAGTCGGGACTTTGATGTTATCACAGGCTGAGTACATCAACAAAGTACTCTCCAGGTTCAACATGCAAGATGCTAAACCAGTAAGTACACCTTTAGGTGTTCATTTCAGACTCTCCAAAGACCAATCACCAAAGACGGAGGAAGAACGTGCACACATGGTGAAGGTGCCGTATGCCTCAGCAATTGGAAGTCTGATGTATGCCATGGTTTGTACCAGACCAGATATTGCTCATGCAGTGGGAGCTGTTAGCAGGTACATGAATAATCCGGGCAAGGTACACTGGGAAGCAGTCAAATGGATCCTCAGATATCTTCGTGGTACCACAAACAAAGCACTTTGTTTCAAAGGTGGAGATATGATACTGACAGGCTATGTAGATGCTGACTTAGCCGGAAATGTCGACATCAGAAGGAGCACTACAGGGTATGTCTATACTCTAGGAGGAACTGCAGTGAGTTGGGTTTCTCAACTACAGAAGATAGTTGCTCTCTCCACAACTGAAGCAGAATATGTCGCTGTTACGGAAGCCAGCAAGGAGATGGTTTGGCTCCAAAGTTTCTTGGAAGAGTTAGGCAAGAACAAGAAAACAATATCTTGTATTGCGACAGTCAAAGTGCTATCCATCTAGCAAAGAATCCGTCTTTTCATTCCAGGACAAAGCACATACAATTGAGATATCATTTTATCCGGTCTCTTCTGGAAGATGGGATTTTGAAACTTGAAAAGATTAGTGGAGCTCAAAATCCGGCAGACATGTTGACAAAGACGGTGACTACGGACAAACTGAAGTTGTGTTCAACTTCAGTTGGCATGCTAGAATAAATAGACCAGACATGCTGCTGCATTGATCGAGGTGTGAAGACATATTAAAATCAGTCTTCAAGTGGGAGATTGTTAAAAGTTTCAAAGTTTGGCAACCAACTTTGGAAAATGTTTTTTTCAAAGTTTGGTAAATGTTTCTTTGAAAAATGTTTTTCAAAGTTTGGTAAAATTTTGGTAGATGTTTGTTGAAAATAGGAATGGGTAAAATTCACTTTAGTCATTGCACTTTAGGGTATTTTCAAAGATTAGTCCCTAAGTTTCTACTATAAATACCCTTACCCATTTAGCTTCAAAATCATCCCAAAACATTTCTTTCTTCCTATACTAGAGAGCTTTCTTGTGAGTAGTGAGTGTTTTGTAAACACCTGTAAATTTTCTCTCTTAGTAAAAGATCTGCAGCAGCCCGGAGACGTAAGCACAATTGGCTGAACTCCGTTATCAATTTTCGGGTATTATTTTTCCGCTTTTATTTCGCATTCTCACTAATCTGGTTATAGGGAAATTACTTGTACTCGGTTTATTTTCCTAACAAAAAAATCAGCTTTAGATGCTAACGAGAAAGAATCAATCACTCCATTTGAGAAAATATTGGGAAAATCTACTGGTTACTTGTGCATAGAAGAGACTGAGAAGTTGCTTCTTCTTGCATGTGATCTAATCAGACGGCACGTTCCAGCAGCGGTCATGCAGGCTGTTCTTCAGTTATGTACTCGCCTAACAAAAGCACATGCATTAGCTTTGCAATTTCTCGAAAATGGAGGCTTAGCTGCTCTTTTTAGTCTTCCAAGAACTTGTTTTTTCCCTGGTTATGATACTGTTGCATCTGCAATTTATTAGACATCTCCTTGAAGATCCTCAGACTCTGCAAACTGCCATGGAATTGGAGATTAAACAGACTTTGAGTGGAAGCAGGCATGCTGGACGTGTTTCACCTCGAACATCAATGGCACCTGTTATCTGCAGAGACCCTGTAGGTTTTATGAAAGCTGCTACTGCAATTTGTCAATTGGAGTCATCAGGAGGTAGGCCCTTTATAGTTCTATTGAAGGAAAAGGAGAGAGACAGAGACAAATTGAAAGCTTCTGGTGCTGAAGTTGGGTTAGGTTCAAATGAATCTGTGCAAATTCCCGAGAGTAAGGTAAATGATGGAACAGGTAGGTATTCCAAAGGCCACAAAAAGATTCCAGCCAATCTTGCTCAAGTGATTGATCAGCTTCTTGAAATAGTTCTGAAATATCCTTCTGAAAAAGGCCATGAGGATAATGCAATTGGCTTAACTTCAATGGAGATTGATGAACCTGCAAGCAAGGTGAAGGGTAAGTAAAAGGTTGAAGAAACTAGGAAAGTGGAGTCTGAAACTGAAAACTCTGCTGCGCTTGCTAAGGTGACTTTTGTCCTTAAGTTATTGAGTGATATTCTTTCAATGTATGTACATGCGGTAGGAGTCATATTGAAAAGGGATTCAGAAATGGGTCAACACCGTGTTTCTAATCAATCAGATGCATCTGGCAGCCCCGGCATTGTTCATCATATTTTGCATAGTTTGCTTCCATTATCTGTTGATAAATCATCTGGACTTGATGAATGGAGGGACAAGTTATCTGAAAAAGCTTCTTGGTTCCTGGTGGTTCTGTGTGGTCGTTCCTGTGAAGGTCGTAAAAGAGTGATTAATGAACTTGTGAAAGCCTTATCTTCTCTCTTTAATGTGGAGAGCAATTCAATAAATAATTCATTGGTGCCTGACAAAAGGGTATTTGGTTTTGCTGATTTGTCATATTCAATTTTGTCAAAGAACTCATCATCAAGCAACTTACCTGGCACTGGCTGCTCACCAGATATAGCAAAAAGCATGATTGAAGGAAGAGTTGTTCAGTATCTAACCAATATACTTGAAGTGATTGACTTAGATCATTCTGATGCACCCAAAACTGTAAATCTGATGCTCAAGGCTTTGGAGAGCCTGACAAGAGCTGCTAATGCAAATGAACAGTTTTTTAAGTTAGACGGTTCCAACAAGAAGAAGTCATCAGAAAGACATATTGATCAGGTAACTGTATCAGCTGTTGACGAAATAGAGCACACTCAGAATGGGAGTGGTCAACAAGCAGATGTAGATGCAGAGGTGACTGAGCAGCAGCAACATCAAGCAACTTCACAAATTGAAAATTACAATGCTAACTCAAATGATCCTATTGACCAAGATATGAGAGTTGAGGTGGAGCCTGCAGCTAGCAACACGCATGTGGAACTTGTGATGGATTTCATGCATGAAGAAATTGAAGGTGGTGTGTTGCATAACACTGAGCAAATTGAGATGACATTCAGAGTGGAGAATAGGGCAGATGATGATATGGGTGATGAGGATGATGACATGGCTGATGATGGGGATGATGACGAAGGAGAAGGAGAGGATGAGGATATAGCTGAAGATGGTGCTGGAATGATATCTCTTGCTGATACTTATGTGGAGGACCATGATGATTACGGTTTGGGAGATGACTATAATGATGACATGATTGATGAGGAAGATGATGACTTTGATGGTCACCGCGTTATAGAGGTAAGGTGGAGGGAAGCCCTCGATGGGTTAGATCATCTGCAGGTACTTGGTCAGCCTGGAGCTGCAAGTGGTTTGATTGATCAGACTGCTGAGCCTTTTGAGGGTGTGAATGTGGATGATCTCTTTGGTCTTCGTAGGCCTGTAGGTTTTGAACGCAGGCGATCTAATGGCAGATCGTCTTTTGATCGTTCTGTTACAGAAGTAAATGGCTTTCAACTTCCTCTTCTGTTAAGACCGTCCCAGTCAGGGGACTTAAGTTCTATGCGGTCATCTGGTGGGAATTCATTCAGGGATTTGGAAGCTATCTCCTCTGGGAGTTTTGATGTTACTCAGTTCTACATGTTTGATGCTCCAGGTCGGCCATATGATCAGGCACCGAATGGTCTATTTGGTCATCGATTGGGTTGTGCAGCACCGACGCCTTTGACTGATTATTCTGTAGGCATGGATCATTGCATCTGCAAGGGAGGAGGGGGTGGTGATGGACGATGGACTGATGATGGTCAGCCACAAGCAAGTGCTCAAGCTGCAGCAATTGCACAGGCTGTAGAGGAACAGTTTATATCTCATTTCTGCAGTACAACTCCTTCGAACGATTTAGCAGAAAGGCACTCACAAAATTCTGGAATCCAGGAGTTGCAACCATTAGGTGCTACTCCATCAAATGATGGCAAGGCTGTGGTACAAGGAGAAAATGCTAGCAGTGAGCAGTGAACATCAGCAGCAAGAAAATAACAATGGAATCTCGGATGAACATAATCCAACAAGTGAAAGTGTTACATGTGATGGGCAGCCCAATTCTCTGTCTGTTGCTGGTGAAATGGCTGAATCAATTCAAAGACGTGAAGGGATATTATCTCAAACATTTTCTTTGAACAATGCACCAGATGAGCGGGATAACATGGAAATTGGAGACAGGAATGGTGCAACAGTCTCTGATCAAGTAGAGCAATTTTCTGAAATGGTTAACTTGCCTGAGGGGGATTCTGCTGTGCCCGGAAACCTCTCACTGCAAGCCATGGGTGATGATGGATTGTCAGGAGGAGATGGTCGGGCAGGTAATCATAGTTTGACAGATTCTGCTTTGGAGATGCCAGTCCCAGGTGATTCTAATGGGTCTTCACTTCATGAGCATATTGATGTTGAAATGAATACTACTGATGCTGAAGGGAACCAAACTGAACAATCAATACCTCTTGAAATTGGTGCAGGGGAGCCAGACACACTGGAGTCTCAGGATGCTAATCAGGCTGATCAAGCGAGTGTTAATATTGAGGGTCCTGGTTCTAATGCCATTGATCCTACCTTCTCTTGGAGGCGTTACCTGAAGACCTACAGGCAGAAGTTTTGGCTTCACAACAATCCCAATCTGTTCGACCTCCAACTGATGTACCACCTTCAGCAGATAATATTGACCTGGAGTTCTTAGCTGCTCTTCCACCAGACATTCAGGCAGAAGTATTAGCACAGCAAAGAGCACAGAGAGTTGCACTGCAAGCTGAGGGTCGACCTGTGGACATGGATAATACCTCTATCATTGCCACCTTCCCTGCTGATATTCGTGAAGAGGTTTGTAATGTAAACTTTCCTCTTGTTAATAACTGAACAATAATAACTTTACTAGCCTTGGTTCCAGGTGCTTTTGACTTCTTCAGAGGAAGTTTTGTCACTATTACCTTTGCCTTTACTTGCTGAAGCCCAAATGCTTAGGGATAGAGCAACGAGTCACTACCATGCACGTAGTTTGTTTGGAGGTAGCCATAGGCTAAGTAATCGGAGGAATGGTTTGGGTTTAGTTAGGCAAACAGTGATGGACAGGGGTGTTGGAATTACATTAGGCAGAAGGCCTGGCTCAACCATTTCTAGTGGCTTAAAAGATGACGAAATCGAAGGAGAGCCTCTTCTCAACTCCAATTCTTTGAAAGCAATAATTTCGCCTTCTACGGCTAGCACAGGTATTGCCATTTGCTGTTTTTTATGGTTCAGTGTTCAACCTAGCTTGACTGAATCTGAGCTAGGGAAGGGCATGGGACCTGAACCCGACGGGTTCCGACCGACCTGACCTATAAATTCGAGTTTGGGTTTAGGATGAAAAATACCCGACCCGAAAAATAATGTATTTATACCTTTTATATTTGGGGATATTTGGAATAATACCCCTCTCAATTATTTTTTCAATTTGATCCCTATTTTATTGAATAAAATTAATATCCTTTTATAAATATATTTGTTTCAGGTCGGGTTCGGGTTTTATCTCAAAAGATGGGTCAGGTGAAGTCACCCTAAACTCGGGTGGGGTGGGGTTTCGGGTGGAGGGTATATATTTTTTCAGGTTGGGTTGGGTTGGCTGGAAACCCAACCCATGCCATCCCTAAATTCTTACCCATCTGGCAATGTGGCTGGAGATTGACAACTTTAACATCAATCTAATTCTTGAAATGCTTCATTTAGTGTTAGTCGTGGGCTGGCCAATGTATGTTGTGTTTCTCCAAATAGTTGATGAAAATTTCAAAACTTATAATTTTTAACACGCTTGTTTTTGTTTTTATCTGTGTAGATGCTCGTTTCTGTCTGGGGCCAAGTCGGAGCAGACCCGAAGCAATGAGAGCCCAGATGAGCCTAAACCAGATGGAGGTCCATCTCCAAACCGATGGACAACAGCAGCATGCTAAAGATGAGAGAAATTGTGGTCAGTTTTAGCAGTTAAAATTAACCACTAGATAGAGAGTGGGGGTCAGTTTTGAGGGGGTTTTAACCACTAGAAACTATCAACCATGAGAAATATAGAGAAAAGGAGGGAACGCATAGAAAAAAAAAGGGGGGGCGTGATCAGGAATTAGGGAAGAACGAGACGAAATAGAGAAAAGACAGAAAAGAGAGGATTACAGGGAGAGAGAAGGGTAAACAAACAAAGGAGAAAAATCATCAACAACCAAAAGGGGGGATAAATTGAAGTCAGTGAAATCAAAGGATCGGCTTTTCCTTTCATTTTTTACACGCAGGACAGCACAACAAATTCCTTTTTCATTTTCATTTGTAACAGAGGAAAGGTAAGTGTTAAAACTCATGTTTGTATTTGAGGCGTTTTTCTATATCTATAAAAATCAATGGAAATTTCTAAAGAATATTCGATTCTGTTATAGTCTATAGTGTATGGTATTTGTGTGTGGGTATGTGAGTACTTTGGAATGGAGATATAAGGATAAAGGGAAGAGGGTAGTCTTACCTTAGGTGTGGTGTCTTTGTTTATGTAATATTCTGCTTTTGGTTTTCATTGTCGAGCGTCGGAGAGGTAAATCTGATAAGTCGGTTGGGTGAAGACAGTGAGCTTCTAAGGTCCTTGTCGAGAGAGTGAGAAGATAAAAACAAGATTCTCGGTTTATATGGCTTAGCTTGGGTTTCCTCTTTGTTGAATGGTTGTCGTCGAGTGGAGTGGCCACCGAGTGGTGGCCGATGCGACGTTGTGAGGATTAAATAGGAAAAGGCTGTCGTTGTTTCCTAGATGGTTGGGGTAGCCAACCGTGTATTGTGATGTTTGGAAAGCAGTGTCGTTTGAGAAGAAAATGGGAGAGTTGAAAGCAAAGAGAGAGCGGCAGGGAGTGATAGTTAGCTTAGGTTAGTTTTATTTAGCTTTATATTAAGATATTTGGGTTAATTAGTGTATAGCCATTAAAATTTTAGGATGAAACTATTATTTGGTCCATGTTGATTTTTTTTAGCTTCTGATTCCACCATTAATTTTTGTGATATTTAATTTTAGCCCCTTGAATCTAATTGTTTTGAATTTTCATTTTTTATACATTTATGATATTTATTTTGAGAATTACATTTTAGTCTAATATGAGATTAAGGATTTATTTTAATTTCAGTACATGGAATGTGATAGTTTATATATTTGGACTTGATTTATATTAAATTTATGATTTAATTTCAAAGTTATGTATCCATTTATTTTTTATTTTTTGTCCTTAGGTTATTATTATTATTTATCATGATATACGTATAAGGGTATTATGAAAAAATAGTGTTTAATTAAATAGATTTTACATGGATTTTAATAAATTATAATTATATTAAGTAATTTTTGTTAATAATTAAGTAATTTGTAACATATGTATATATATATTTATTAATGGTTTTTTTTAAAAAAAATTCTTTAAATAAATTAACCTTACGGATATTAGCATTGCTTTTAAAAAGTCATTAGAATATTAAATTTTATTGGTTTTTAGTATATTTAATGTATTAAATATTATTTTCTATAATTACATTTGTTTTGTTTACTTATATCATTTTATTAATTAGTGGTATTGTAATTTGCATGCTAACCTCATTTGCATAACCCGACTTATTATATAATCGGACTAAGGGTAATACCCTTTTAATTTAAAATTGTCTTGAGTGGTCTGTCTTAACTGATTAGAGGGCCGTTTTGATGATTTTAAATTAAAAGTGTATCCCGAAAGTGAAACAAAAAAAATTGATGCGTCACTTAAAATTTGGGAACGAAAGAAAAGGAAGTGTTCGTTTATTTAAATTTATCGAGAAAATGTTGTTATAGCTTTTAAGATCTGGTCTCGATATTTGTAAATAATCGAACACTCTTTATCTTTCTAAAACGACTTGGTAATTTTAATTTAATTTGTTTGAGTGTTGTTGAATATTTTTAAATTTATATATTTGTTTTATGGGATCAAAAATCAAATTAAGTTCGAATTTGTAAAGTTCATTGCAAAAACGTTAATTAATCGACTAGGTACCGATTTAGGGCGTTGTGGGGGTGCTAATCCTTCCCCATACGTAACCGACTCCCGAACTCGGATTTGGTAACGCAGACCTCAATTTGTTGTTTTAATTAAAATTAATTTTAATTTAAAATGACAAAGCATTTTTGGGTGCCCAATCACACCCTAATCAAAGATTGGTGGCGACTCTTTGAACCGTATTTTTCGATCGTAAAGGAAATCCAATTTTTTTTTTGAAACAAGAGGTCTTTTAAATCGCATTTGTTTTTAAATTAAAAAGAGATAATTAAGAATTAATGTGGTTTTCAAAAATCTCACACTTTTCTCACTTTTAAGAGAAAAATCGTTTCGACAGCTTGGCGACTCTGCTGGGGACATTTTTTTAGAGAGTCAGGCTGATAGTCGATTAATTAATTGTCTTTGCAATTGGAAATTATAAATTCGTTTTAATTTGGTTTTTGATCCCTTGCTTTGTTTTTAATAAGTTTTGTTTGTATTTTGATTTCTTTAATTTAATTCGATTGACAATTAAATAGTTGTACTGATCTGTTTGCTAATGATTTCAGAATGATTGTGTTTTGGGAATTGATTTGAGTGTTTTTATTGATTGCTTTTTTGCTTTTCCTCACACACTGCACAGCTGCATTATCATAACATGAGCTAAAACCCTGCTCCGTCCTAATTAAGTAGGAGTGAGAGACTATGCCCTCGTGTGGTTTTCACCTCCGCATGGGATAGTGGATCGCTCCTGGAGCTCACGCCTTATGGTCCTCGTGATGGTATTCACCTCCGCATGGACATAAGGAGGTGTGTTCCCTCGAAATTGAACTCGATCCCCTAAAGCCTATGATGGGCCAGGATTGAGGGTTCGGTAGCCCAAGGGGCACCGACAAGGACAATTCGAGAACCTATTACTTTAGAACCTAACCCGACATATAGTGAACATAGAGCCTGAACTTAGGTTGAACCAAACCCAAACCTTAAGAATCCCGTGAGGAGGGTACACAAGGAAAAGCTTTTTTTTTAGTCATTTATTTTCGTTTTTCGAATAAATGCTTGCGAACTAGATATCATGTGGTTAGGTTTATTTTTCGAACAAGCATGCGAACTAGATATCATGTGGTTAGGTTTATTTTTTGAATAAGTATGCGAATTAGATATCATGCGGTTAGGATTTATTTTTGTGAATAACAAAGCATGGGGGTAGATATCATGTTGGGTAGGATCTGATAAAGCATGATGGGGTAGTCAGCATATGTGGGTAGGATTTTTGAACAAATTATTATCCTGAATTAATTGCTTCATGTTTACTAACCGATCTTTTGTTGTTTTTGCCTTGTTTCTTTTCTGTTTTGTATTGCATTTTCCATTACATGGTGTTGATTTGGGGTCGATGTCCATATAGAAGGCCAGTAATATGGAACGAACGGTTCAGAAAGATGTTGAGGACAATGCAAATGTTCTGAGGTTGTCGGAACAGTCCCAATTGACCAATGGAGACAGCATGATACCTGGATATGTGTCAGAGTTATTTGGTTACACTCACATCAACGTACGTCAGAATGATCTGAGTGAGCTAAGAGAGATATGAGGAAGATGGGAAGCAGCCAATAAGGAGATGTTTATCAGTTGTACGGCGATATTCCGTATCTTCTGGATGTTCCTATTAACCGAAATATGTTTAGAGCATTGGCGCAGTTCTGGAATCCTGCTTATAGCTGTTTCACATTCGGTAGAGTGGATATGACACCAACAATAGAGGAGCATCAAGCATTGGTCCGTTGTCCGAGGTCCCAGATAGATAGAATATATACCAAGCTGCCAGTCACTCCTTCATTTAAGAAGAAATTACTATTGATGACCGGAATGAGTGAAGATTGGGTAATCAGAAACATTAAGAAGAAGGGAGACAGTGAGTGCATCTCTTGGGCTGCTCTGAAAGAAGTAATTGCTCATCATCCTGATAAGAGAAAGAAGCTTGACTTGTTTGCTTTAGGGATTTATGGGCTCGTTATTTTTCCAAAAGTGCTAGGATATGTAGACGTATCAGTTGTTGACCTGTTTGAAAGATTAGACAAGCACGTGGATCCTGTTCCAGTCATTTTAGCTGAGACGTTTCGGTCTTTGAGTTCTTGTAGGCGCGAGGGAGAATGACGCTTTATAGGATGTGCGCCTTTGATGCTAGTGTGGATTCTGAGTCATTTCAAACATGTTGAAAGAGCACCAGGACGAGTGTTTATAGAGGGGTTTTCTCCTTTGAAAGATTTTCTTTCTAAAGAATGGCCTGGGGGCTTCACCGAAGAAAAATGGATGGTCATCTTCAAGGATATCAGAGATGGAGATATTTTGTGGCGAGCTTCGTGGAATACCTCTTCGGATATACTTTACCGATGTGGAGAGCGAGATTGGGTTCCTTTGCCAGGTATATGGGGTTCTGTTGGGTATGCGCCGCTACTAGTTTCCAGACAGTATGGATCGAGGCAGTTCATCCCAGCCACGTGGGACTTGGTAGGATCGGATTTTGCATTCAAAGGAGATCAGTATAAGGGTAAAGTTAAAGGGGTTGCTGAGGCCTGGAAGCAAACTCGTCGCGTGAATTTGTTCACCTATGACCTCGGGTTATCTCAAGAGTACGAGCAATGGAGAAGCGGTCGAGTAAACGATAACATCCCGATAGTGAATCCTGAAAATATTCAGCTAATAGAGGAACAGTTGAGAGTGGTGCCATCTCCATTAGAGTTAGC